TTCCCACACATCCTCCAACAGCCCCACACATCCCCCAACAGCCCCACACATCCCCCAACATCCCCACACATCCCTACACATCCCCACACATCCTCCAACAGCCCCACACATCCCCACAACATTCCCCCCACACCTCCAACATTCCCCACATCCCCCAACATCCCACGACTCCCCAACATCCCCACACATCCCTACACATCCCACACCTCCCCCAACATCCCCCACATTCCCCCCAACATCCCCACACATCCCTACACATCCCCACACATCCTCCAACAGCCCCACACATCCCCACACATTCCCACACATCCTCCAACATTCCCACACATCCCCCAACATCCCCACACATCCCCCAACATCCCCACACATCCCCCAACATCCCCACACATCCCCCAACATCCCCACACATCCCCCAACATCCCCACACATCCTACACATCCCCACACATCCCCCAACATCCCCACACATCCTCCAACAGCCCCACACATCCCCACACATTCCCACACATCCTCCAACATTCCCACACATCCTCCAACAGCCCCACACATCCCCCAACAGCCCCACACATCCTTGACTGTTTCTGCTTTGGAGTGATAAAAATGCTCCAGTCACTGCATTTCCACTGAAATTCATGAATCTTAAGCTGGAAATGGTAACGCTGCTCTTTTCCCCGTTTAGTTTTATATATTCTTATATATTCTTATATCTATAACTTCCTTTCTTTGCCGTTAAACCTTCACTTCAGATGTGCTTCCTCTGTGGCGCTGAGACTGACAGGCTTTAATAAACTAATTCAGTACTTCATCGTCAGTGTTGTTGAGTTTTCTTTATTTGGGGATTTAGACTCTTCACTGGGCTCTTGGTTTAAGCGTGTGTGTTTGCAGGGTTTCTCCCGGCTGCCGCTGGTCGGTCAGTACAGTCTGAGGAAGCAGCCGTACAACAACCTGAAGAATAAGTTCACCTGGCTGTCGGAGGCCGGACTGAGGCTGCTCAACCTGCTCTTCATGTACAACCCACAGCGCAGGTACAGTGAAGCTCACTGCAGCACATAGCAGTGCATAAACATGCAGCATTAAAGAGTCAACTGCATGTATTTTACAACATTAGAATCATTTCTGATTGATTATAATGACGTGCAACAAAGCTGTGGTTCTCAAACTGGAGCCCACGTGTCAAACACGAGGCCCGCGGGCCGAGTCAGACCCGAGTCAGGCCCACAAAATTATTTTAATTTTCTATTAATATTTGCCCGTTTCACCATGAGCTGCACTACAGTTCCCAACATGCACTGCAATGTAATGTGTGCTCCCACCCCCTCCCCAACAACGATCTGCACCACAAAAACAAAACAAAAACACCTCCAGGTGTCAGTGATCTGCAGTTAATGTGGTCTGTTTTATATAAAACTTAGTTTTATTTAAAATTCTTTTTGAATTCTTTGAATATTTAGTGCTTATTTTTTGCCATTGTATTTTGAAAAAACAGTGGCCTGTTCAGGTCGTGGCAAAATGTTAAGTAAAACTAAAATGAAAACTCAGCTGTTCCACAGATTCGCTGAGATTTTTTAATACGATCCTTTCAGTGGCTCAGTTTGACACCCCTGATCTACAGTGAGCGACTAAAACAGCCGTAATTACTGAGGAGGTTTTAGTTCAACAACTCCGCAAATACAGCTGTGTCTAAATGCTGCACTGCTTTCTGGGTGTTTTGACTTTAAGCTGCACTGTTTAGTATTTGTAGTTAAAACTGAATGAAGTGTCGTTACTGAGAGGAGAATATAAACAGGCTAAAATATGGTGAGTCTGCGCTGCTGAGAGTCGCCTGTAACGCCAGGAATAGTCATTTAAACTCAGAGGCGGCGAGTTTTTCACACCACGTCGTACGTCTTTACGTATTAATATCACACACAGACTCTAAAAGGAGGTCCGGCTCGATGTTTCGGCCTCAAATGATCTCAGAATCAACATCACACTGATGAAGATGTGCTGACAGTAGTAGATAATTCACTCTCATCCTCAGAGACGCTCCTTCAACAAGATTAGACCGAGTTCTCTTCGATTCTCATTCAGCCTCGCAAAAGTCAGATTCATCCATGGGGGTTCGAAACACAACCGACGCTACAGAACGTTCTTCCGTACGTTGTGCGCAGTTACACATTTCCACCAGAGAGGGCTCCAAATCCGACAGTGTTGCTTTAACTTGTTAAAAATCTGTTTCTTCTCATACCGAAAGTCACTCTGTATGAAATTTGGCCGACGTCTCCTTTTGAGAACCCACATCTGTTCAAATTTGACAGCATTATAAAAACTCATCATTTGTGTTCTGTCTGAAAGAAGACCTGTACAGACAGCTGTATACTCACCCAGTATCACAGCATTTACCCACAGTGTGTGTGTGTGTGTGCGCGTGCGCGTGTGTGCGTGTGTGTGTGCGTGTGTGTGTGCGTGTGTGTGTGTGTGTGCGTGTGTGTGCGTGTGTGTGCGTGTGTGTGCGTGTGTGTGCGCGCGCGTGTGTGTGCGTTTGCGTGTGTGTGCGCGCGCGCGCGTGTGTGTGTGTGTGTGTGTGTGTGCGCGTGTGTGCGTGTGTGCGTGTGCGCGTGTGCGTGCGTGTGTGCGTGTGTGTGTGTGTGTGTGTGTGCGTGTGTGCGTGCGTGTGTGCGTGTGTGTGTGTGTGTGTGTTAGGGCGTCTGCAAAGGACTGTCTGGAAAGTTCATACTTCAAGGAGAAGCCTCTGCGTGAGTACTGTTCTCTGTGAGATTATAATCTAATACAGATTAGGTGGGATTACAACTATTGTCTACTTTTATTGTTATTATTATTATTAATAATTGACTAATATAGTTATCTGATGTGCTGCGAGAGGCACCTACATTTTTAAAATGTTTTTAATGTTTAAAATGCGCATTATAGAGGCTTTTTAAATGAAACAGTAGAAGCCATATCGCCCCCTACACTTCCTGTAGTGTATTACAGTCTGTTGGACTGACAGTGTGGATCATATGAACGTTATTTTTAAAAATGAATGTTTTTTATAGTTTATAGTTGATTTTGACTGTTCTGCAGTCTCAGTGTTTGGCTTGTTAGCTTTGAGCTTTGTCAGTATTTAGGGATGTTTATGGATTCTCTCTCCGTGTCTCTGCAGCGTGTGAGCCGGAGCTCATGCCCACATTCCCTCACCACAGAAACAAGCGGGCGGGGCCGGCAGCCGAGAGCCAATCAAAACGCAGCAAAACTGGACGCTCCATCGCATCCTAGCCCTGCCGATCAAAAAAAGGAAGGGAATTGCGACATCAAGACCAGACTGGAGCACCAGTTTGTTCTGTTCCAGTCACAGCACACCTGAGCCAGGTACACAGGGGCTGGAGAGCACTGACTACCTGGCACAGGTGTGTTTGGAGCTGGACCTGAAGAGAAAGTGTTCTGGCTGAGGACTGTTCTGCACCTTTGAGCCCATCAGGGAAAAAAGGAGCTAATTTACAATGAACTGTGAGACTTTACTGAACCCCAGTGAGGAGTCACTGCACCTGCCGCCGAGCTGGTTTAGCAAACGGAACAGTGCTGACCAAACGTGACCGTTGGGCAGGTGTAGTTTATACACAAGTTCACAAGAAGTCCATAAATAATGGTCAATATGTTAAATATATTGTGCATGGATGGCTGTATAGACTGACTGATGTGTGTTTCTTTGCTGTTGAAGAAAAATCTTGTTTTAGAAATGTTAACTTTGTAGACGAAGAGAAGAAAACTTGAATTTCTCCAAATTTTTAAAAGAATTTTCAAAAATTCTTTTCTTTCTGTTCTAGATAAACTTACTGAGTCAGAACTGTTCACAGTGGTGGTGATAGGAACCAGACGTCCCCCTCTAAAAGCTCCTCACAGAAAGTTCCTACATGAAATGGTTATGAATTCACTGCCTGATGACTGAGACACTGTTTTATGATAGTTTAGAGAACTTAAACTCCATTCATGGTGGAGGGATACATGCAGGGCGCTGTGAGGCAAAATAGTCCCCAAAGAAAACTTATTATTTCAGATTTTCCACTATTTTCCATCATCAACATTCCATATAAACTCAGAAGACTCGTGTAGGTTCACTGGTGGTTCTGGATAGTAAATAAAATGTCTATATCTGTGTTGTAGTCATGGTGACCCCTGGTTCCTATCACCACCACTGTAAAGACATCTGAACCATTTCACACCAAACCACTCTGAAGCTCTCTGATTACATCTAAACACTGAACTATGCAAAAGATTTTCAAAATTGGGTGGAGTTCCCCTGTAAAAGATAACGAGCATTTCTGTCTGTTCATCATGTTAACACACTGCAAAGCGCAGCTGGAGTTTAAGATTGTTGCTTTGCGAGGACTGAAAAAGTGAACATAATCACAAAGACTGTGTTCAGACTGACGGCCCAAATCTGATTTCTGTCATATCCAGATAGATTTTTAATAGTCTGAACATCAAAAAAAACAATCTGATTTTTGCCAATCAGATCTAAACCACATTTGTAAGTGGTTTGAAATGCAACTCCAGTCTGATGTTTACAGATGTGTCTCAGTCTGGACGCTCTGGACATTTAGCTCAGATTTTCAAGTGTTTTTCGTCACTCGCAACAAGACAAACAGCGACAGTGTCGAATCCAGAGTGATGAAGTGCTGGAATTCCAGAAGATTCATGATGGTGATGAGTTCTGAAGAGATGCTCCTCCATCTCTCCTGCAGCCGCGTTGGAAATCCGCATCACCAGTGAAGCTACGTAGTTACTGACTCCTACGTTACTATAGCAACCCGCGCAGACAGACTGGTGATGTCCAGACACACAAATCTGATCTGATCACTCGCTGACAACAGAGCGGACAGTCGACTCAGAAGATCTGATCCGAGAAAGAAACCTGATTCGCCTGCAGTCTGAACACAGCCTGAATGTCTGATTCAGCGGAACTGTTGCCCATTTTTGAAACAACAGACAAGTTTAAAAGACAAAAACACACAACGTTGCTACTTTTCATTTCTTTTACAATTCAGATTTAATTAATTCAGGCAAACTTGGTAGTCATAGCAACAGGAGAGAGCTGTACAGTCTCCATGGAGACCGAGACTGACATCACTGTCCAGCTGAACCTTTACCTCTACGTACACAGAGACCAGAGTGACAACCAAAAACAGAAATTATACTCCGCGACAGGGCGTTACTCTTTTAGTCTGAGGCTGACCTAGAAAGCCTCGCAACTGTATTATTATTATTATTAATAATATTAAAATTAATGTACTCAGGCTGTGGATCCCTCCTGATGTGGATAGTTGGAGGCCGTGTACTGAAATAGAGAAGACAGCGAACTCTAACGATAAGCGACGGCTGGTACGGCTGTTAGTTACAGAGTAATGATGTGGTGTAAAGAAGCCGCTACAGTCAGGAATAAATTAAATATAATACTGAGATTAAGGAGGGGGGGGGTCACCCTGTGGAGTGCTGCACATTTAAATACACACACACACACACACACACACACACTCCTGTCCTTCAATAATCACAGACTCATCACAGCCACCGTCCTGTCAATCAAACGTGGAAAGATCAAAGCAAACTAACGCTGGGAAATAAAAGGAGCTCCTTCAGTTCACCCTCACAGTTCTGCCTCCGACAGGTAGTCCAGGTGTGACCAGGTGTGTAGTGTAGTGTAGTGTTGGCTAGGGCGGGTAGGGGGTTGATAGTCCAGGTTTGGTCTGCAGGGGGCGCTGCTGCAGTGGTAGAGCATTATAGAATGTGCTGAGGGAGCCTCAGCCCTCCTGCCCAAAATCCTCTGTGAACTTCTTCACCTTCAGTAAGTCTTCGGCGTTCACCGTGGGCCGAGTGGTGGCCAGAGAGCGCAGCATATCCGCCTGAGGAGGAACACACAAGGCACAGACTCAGAGGGGAACCCTCAGAACCTTCTAGATCTTCAGAGAACGTCTAACGATTTCTGGGAACTAATATAAATACACGTCTGTAATGTTCAGTTCATTTTTATTCAATAGAGTAAAATATGTGACGTGAGCAGAAAATCGTCCAATCAGGATTCTTCTCTCTAGGTAGATTCAGCCGAGCTGCTCTCCCATTGGTTAGGACGTCAGGAGCTGGACTGAAGGCCTTACATGTTAGATTAACTACCATCATAACTATGAAGTGAGAGAGTGATGCATTGATGCACAATGGATGGAATCAAGAAACATCGCTCTAGTCCTTCCGCAAGTTCTAGATATGTCACTTAATGAATTTACACCGATCAGCCATAACATTCTGACCACCTCATTGTCCATTTTATCAGCTCCACTTACTATATAGGTGCACTTTGTAGTTCTACAGTTACAGACTGTAGTCCATCTGTTACTCTGATACTTTGTTAGCCCCCTTTTACCCTGTTCTTCTGAGAATAGTCCACCAACCAAAAATATCCAGCCAACAGCGTCCTGTGGGCAGCGTCCTGTGACCACTGATGAAGGACTAGAGGATGACCAACACAAACTGTGCAGCAGCAGATGAGCTATCGTTTCTGACTTTACATCTACAAGGTGGACTGACAAGGTAGGAGTGTCTAATAGAGTGGACAGTGAGTGGACACAATGTTTAAAAACTCCAGCAGCACTGCTGTGTCTGATCCAGCACAACACACACTAACACACCACCACCACGTCAGTGTTACTGCAGTGCTGAGAATGATCCACCACCCAAATAGTACCTGCTCTGTGAGGGTCCATGGGGGTCCTGACCACTGAAGAACAGGGTAAAAGGGGGCTAACAAAGTATCAGAGAAACAGATGGACTACAGTCTGTAACTGTAGAACTACAAAGTGACCCTATATAGTAAGTGGAGCTGATAAAATGGACAATGAGCGCAGAAACAAGGAGGTGGTCAGAATGTTATGCCTGATCGGTGTGATTGTCAGTCTAATCAGTGGGTGATAAATACTTCAGCTGTGGAGGACGTGACTGGACTGGTGCTAAAGTTAGTGGAGTAAATGTGATGTGTGAAGAACGTCCAGCAGAGTAAACACACACACACACACACACACACACACAGAGCGTTCAGTGTAAGAATGGTGTGTGTGTGTGTGAGTGTCTCACCATGCACACTATGGGCTCTAGTAGTTTGTCACCCGGAACATCCATCCAGGTCATCTCTATGGCAGCAGGGTCGCCGGGGGAACAGGGGGTCAGCAGGTCATCCACCATCACTGAGGGGTTACTGCGGGACGGCCCTCGCACCTATCCGTCACCACGGTAACACACACAGGGGTCAGTCACCACAGATACACATACGAGAGAGATGCTGCGCTTACAGTATGATGGTTTCATTAGACGGCGACCGCAGCGCAACATTCTGTCGACTCAGCTAAACTCTGGAATTAACCGAATGTTATTTTCGGCTGACTGTTCATCTACAGCGAAGCCCAACTGATGAAAACTAGAGTATCTAATAATTAATGTTGAAAACCTTAGTGTGCTGATAATGTGGTGCCGTTACCTTCTTGAAGTGCGTAGCTGACTGTACTTTGCGGACGGGCTGCATCAGAGCGTCTCTGACGATGATGCTGATGTCAGCGCCGGAGTAGCCGTCGGTTTTTCGTGCGAGCTGCCGGAGGTCAGCGTCGGTCAGGCTGTGGGGGGTGTTCCCCAGGTGCAGCCGGAACATGGCCGCCCGCGCCGGCTCGTCCGGGAGAGGGATATAGATCCTCTTCTCAAACCTGCAGATCCGAATATGTTCATTTTCTTTAACACTCTTAATAAATTAATTCGGATTGTTGTAAATATATAAGACAGCTATAGAGATGACAGACGAATACAGTACAGATCAGCTCTCACAGCCAGACACAACACAAACAGGAAACCTGGACACTGACCTTCTCCGTATAGCAGCGTCCAGAACCCAGGGGATGTTAGTAGCACCCAGTACGAGGATTTTATCGTTATTATTCCCAACACCTGCCAGCAAGCAAACCCGGAAAACACTTTTAGCTCCGTAAATCGGAAAACATGACACAAACTAAAGCTCTGCTGGACCTGGATTAGTTCTAGATAAGAAGTTTCTGCAATTTAAAAGTGATTCATGATGAAATCTGTAATTTTAATCCGGTATGAATCTGCAGTGTGTGTAGTTTTACAGTCTGACAGTAATAATTGTGGAGCGATTTTAATCCAGTATGAATCTGCAGTGTGTAGTTTTACAGTCTGACGGTAATAATTGTGGAAGAATTTTAATCCAGTAGGAAATAACTAAACCTTGTAATAGACACGGCTGTGTGGAGTGTTGTTATTGTTATTGAGTGTGTTTAGTGTCGTAACACTGATGTGAACATTCTAGCTTTGACCTTTCAATCCAGGTTATTTGGGGAAATTATACAGGGACTTAGTCCCGAACCAGTTAGCCAATCAAATCCGGCTAATTCCACTGCACACACTAATCCAGCTCTAATAGAGCTTTAGACATCCCTCTCTCTATTCCCAAATAGCTCAACCCTCCACCCGTCTCCCGCTCTCCCACCTTGCATCTGCACCAGAAACTCTGTTTTGATCCTGCGGGCCGCCTCACTCTCATTCTCACTCCGCGAGCCGCACAGAGAGTCCACTTCATCGATGAAGATGATGGAGGGCTTACGGAGACGAGCAAGTTCAAAAAGGTTCCTCACCAACCTGAGAGAGAGAGAAATGGGTCGATACGGCAGACAGACTGTAATACACTACAGGAAGTGTAGGGGGCGATATGGCTTCTACTGTTTCATTTAAAAAGCTCTTTAATGTTCATTCAGCTCTTTCAGAGAGCAGCAGAGGAAACTGAAGGTGGTTCTCACTTCTCACTCTCTCCGAGCCACTTGGACATGAGGTCTGAGGAGGAGACGGAGAAGAAGGTGGAGTTGTTAGCCTCGGTGGCGACGGCTTTGGCCAGGTACGACTTTCCCGTCCCAGGAGGACCAAACAGCAGAATTCCTCTCCATGGAGTTCGCTTACCTGAAACAAACCACACGCTATGTTAGCCTCATAGCTACATTAGCCTCTTAGCTCCAGAGCTAAAACTACAGAAGCAAACTTCAGTCACCAAACTCGTCTGAGCTGGTCGACTACGCTTGGAGTAAAAAGGTAGAAACTGACTTTAGACCAAACTGTCTCTTTAACTCTCAACTACTGAAGTATGAAACGCTGCCTACAGGGGGCAGTGCAGTTGTGTAGTGGCCTTACTCAGCAGCCAGCAGAGCTCTCGCTCACAGACACAGACGCATACCTGTGAAGAGGTGAGGGAATTTGATGGGCAGAATCACAGCTTCCTTCAGCGCCTCTTTAGCGCCCTCTAGCCCGGCTACATCATTCCAGCTGACGTTGGGCTTCTCCATAACAATAGCACCTGCAGAACACACACAAACACACAAGGTGGCGTTAGACGGGTTCTTTGGGTCCCGTCCACACGTATCGGATATTTCTGACAGCGTAGTTTTCTCTGTGTTTTGATCTCCTGTCCACACAAACGCAGCGTTTCAGGTGACTGATGACGGAAAATGGAGGTTTTTGAAAACACATTTTGAAAATGCTGACATCACCGTTAACTCAAACTCGCCTCCTGCTGTTCACGTTTACTGAGCTGCTCTTAAAGGCAGCTACAATATCAGAGTATTTGCTTTGGCATGATTCCCCGTCGACATTCTCCTGGGATTTGTTGACTTTGTACCCAAGTGTTACTTTAAGCAGTGACTGACCTTCGACATATAAACGGACTTAAATGAATCCCTTTATTTGCAACAGTCTCTGTTTTCTGTTTAGACACTGTGTTAGTAACTCACCAAAAAAATGGTAAAAATGGCCGGTTTTTGGGCCGAAAGAGAAAAACACACAATTTATTTTGACCAAAAGTAAAGACTGAACAGGACTAACACAGATCTCACACAAATCATTCAAAAGTTACTGCGAATGAGAAACAGGGATTAAAACACTGTTTTCAGTGCTGCTCAGCGCAGTAATCTCGCGTGGAACCATGTCACGGTTTCTATGAGGAACATCAGACAGATTTATAACCTCTGTTTATGTGGAGTATCAAGACACCTGAGAACTTCACAGCAGGTCTGATAGCACCTGAAAACACAACTCAACATGCAGAACAGCAGAAGCAGGAGGTAAAGTCATTAACATTCTACTGTTTTATCATAACCAACTTATTTCGTGTCCTATTTCATCATTTTATTTTTGTTTTTATTGATTGTTGTTTCTCTTTTATCATCTTAACTACCCATTTTTATTGTTGTCTTATTAAACTGGGCAGACATTATTCTCCAAATCCATTTTAATATTGTTTGTTTTATCACACATTTTGTTCGTTTCTGGCCGGTTCCAGTTTGTCCAGTTATTCTGAAAAGCTCGCTTAGGATCAACGACAGGCTGTGAATTTGATGTAGTCCTTTATTATATCCTGACAAAATACACCACAATATGCTTTTCTGAGGATATGGTAGATATCAGTACTTAAAGGACACTGAACTGCATTCAGTGTTATTACAAAGTTATTTACATACCGGTATAACGGTAATGACAAAACCGACACCTTAAAAAGAATTTCAACCGGATGAACTTGGATATCGCCACCACTACGGTGCTGTCAGAACTGCTGTACGACGTTTAAAATCTGCTTTTTCGCTCCAACTTGAGTCTTTAGTTTAAAAGCAGTTTAATCTGCACTGCTGGAACTCACTCACCCATCAGATGCTCCTGCAGCTTCTTCTTCTCCGGGTTCTCCCCCTCGCTGTCGCTGTCGCTCCTGACACAAACACACACACAGGGATTATTACACACCATCTCAAACGCTTCTCCGATCACCATCACGCAGAACAGCAGAGCGACAGATGGAGCAGAAACAGAGAGACGGGTCAGCAGTACTTGTCATTGCTCTGCGCCTCCTTCACGGGTTTCTTGCCCTGCTTCTCTTTGTTCTTCAGGTACTCCTTCAGCTTCTCCGCCCGGTCCAGGTACTGCATACATTTCCCCCGGATGCTCTCTTTAGCCTTGTCACTGTGAGCCTCGTCTGCAGAGGAGAACAAACACATTCATCGTCATTCAGCTGATTATTCTGATTTCAGACAGAAGCAGAGATTAGTCTCACACTTCTAAAGAGACAGTGTTCTGTATTACCTCTGTACTTTATTTCACTCCCTGATGTCCAGTTATAACGTAAACATCATAATTAAGTTCTACATGATCATTTTTCCATCCTCTCTTATGCTGAGCGTCACTGCACGACTTTTAAAATCCTAACAGGTTTCTAAAACTGAGAGCATCACAAACATAACGTCAGCTTATCACGGAGTTTCTTATCTTTGTCGCGAGGCGCTCAGACTAGACAACAAGACAGAGACAGAGAATAACACAGGACGAGTTTGGGCTACGAGTAAGAACTCAAACTCCCAGAATTCCTCAGATCACACGACACACTCAGAGCTGAACTCACTGGACCTGTTTGGGCTATTATGTGCGGCGAAAGCTCAAACTGGGGATGAATCTGTGGAGAGAAGCGCTGATTCAGTGAAAGCCGGAGAAACATTTCACTACAGACTGGCAGCTGAGCTGAAACTGTAAAGACAGTGACCTGATCTGGATCAACATGATAAATGTGATAAATGTGATATCGGCTCTTATCTGCCTGTTCATACTCAGCTCCTCTGTCTCCGCTGATCATGTGTCTCTTCTCCTTTCTCTCCGCTCTTCCAGCTCTCTGATTGGCTGTTTGAATCCCTCACTGAGTTCATCTCTGACCGTCTCTCGCTGCAGGACTCGTGAACGTTCTGAGCCGTAAACATTAAACATGTCTGACAGTATCTGAGGGTCTCTGATCACTCCAGGGGCTAAAGATTCACTCTTCTCTCACACTACAGATCATCCGCACCGTCAGCCGCTTTCGACTGAGCTCCCGACCTGGAGGATCACTTCAGACCATGAAAGTTTGTTGTAAGGGGCAGATTGGGGTTAAAATCAGACAGAAAATCGTGTAGTGTGGGCGCGGCCTTAGAGTTAAACAGGCTGTTTCTGTTACTGCGCCTTTAACACTGACATATGTAAATAAGCTCTGTTCTGATTGGCTGTTCCTCATTCAAAAAGCAGTCTGGGCTGAAACAGTGCTTATAACATCGATAGGCAGGGCTAAAATGTTACAGGCTAAACAGGCACATTATATCTATATATCACTGTTGGAAAAAACCTCGTATCTCCAAAATGGAAACTTTACAGGAGAAGGAAAAAACATACTGGATTTTTTTTCCAGGTCATTTTTGGTCGTTTCTTTTAGCCCATTCATCATGAAATTCACACACAATGTAAAGGACAACAGGTATTTTCACATTATGTCAAAAACTGAAAAACAACGTAAATGGAGATACAAGGTTTTGTTCCAACAGCAGCGAGATTGTATATTATGTGTTTTATATATATATATATATACACAGAGAGAGAGGGAGCTTTTCATAGTAGTTTCGGCTCAGTAATAGAACTATGAATACTTTAAAGTCATCTAAGACAATGACAAAGAAAAAAAATGTTAACGTATTTAGCAAAATCCTAAAAGAAAACTGCAGCATTTTTCATTAATTTTATCTGCTAAATCTGATTAATAATTTTCCAAACAGAAGATTTATTGACTCAAAACACAATTTTTTCATGCACATATCTGCCGACGCCGATACATAAACATTTATTAATGTAGAAACTGGGACTGAATCCATTACAAGGAAATATAACATATTTCTGTACAGTTAAACAGGAATATTGATTTGTAATTTCAGCTAAATGTTGGAATGTGATGATAAGCGCATTGCGGCGGTCGTGTGATGCCTGCTGCCGGGTCGAGCTCACAGGCCTCCTAACTCAGGGCGTGATCACACCTGAGTTAGGACCAAGTCCAGACCAAGGTTCACGTTTTTATTACACTCTGTACTTTTGATCCGATTACTTTTGGTTTCTCACTGCAGTTTAGTGAGCGCACTAAATAACCCCTGGCTAAATCCACCTGGTTTAGCATCACAGAGAAATAAAACATTTTTTTCTCTACGTTACACAGAAATATCGATTTGTAATATCGGCTAAATCTCAGGATGTGATGATAACCACATTACGGTGGTCGTGTGATGCCTACCACGGGGCTGAGCTCATTACCATCATCACCTGCGTGGGCTGAGTCCTGTACTGGACACTAACTGGTTTGTAGAGGAGCGCCTGGCGACGGCGTGTGGTCAGTTCACAGTGAATGATCAGACTCATCATGTTCCCTCTGAACTACCTTTAAAAGCTGCTGCAGTTCCTTTATCCTCAGGCGGTTCATATCCTCTCTCGTCCTCTCAGAGAATAAGGGAGGAGTTTTGGCAGTTTTTCAATCTAGCAAATCTATACCTGCACAGATAGACTGACATCTCCTACCTCTATACATATCTTGTATAATCTGGAATGTATATATCTATATTCTATCTGCTGTGTACCTGCTTCTCATTATCTACCTCAGACTCAGACATACTGCACATATGGAAAAGTGTACAACTGTACATATAGCTTTTAACTTATATTACTGTACAAAAACTGTGCATTGGAAATGGAGCGATATATATATATATATATATATATATATACAGTTTTTGTACAGTAATATAAGCATATATATATTTTGCTGTTTTTCAGTTGACGTAATGTGAAAATGCCTGTTGTTCTTTACACTGTGTGTAAATTTCATGATGAATGGATGAAAAGAAATGATCCAAAATTACTACAAAAAAAAAATCAGGTTCCACTGACTTACATTAAAAGTAATGATTTTTCCTTCTCTTGTAAAGTTACTATTTTGGAGGTACGAGGTTTTGTTCCGACAGCAGTGATATATATATATATATATATATACACACACATACTTTTTATTTATTTTGTATGTAAGCTCTACGAGGGGCTACACACCTTAGATTTTCACTCACCTTCACACCTGTGTAAATGTGCTGTGACATTAAACGTGATTTGATTTTTAAATTGACGTTTAACTCTTTTGATCATATTACAGTGAAACGTTCACTGTGAGCCCCTGCGGCTCGTTTCACCGTCTCCTCCTTCTTTTCTTTCCTCTCTGTTTAACGGGTGATGATATCCTGATATGCTGCCTTAACTTGCCGTTATTGATACAAAAGTCTGAACCATCCAAAAAAGCCTTTTCACACTGCAGATGAACCGAATCATGGTCCGGTTTGAGACCTCCTCCTCTGGTCGGGCCAAATTTTATTCCTTTGGTCTGGACCGTGGAACCTTTGACCCCAGCTGTTTTGGTTCTGGGGTCCAGACCAAACGAGGCAGGTGTGAATAACACTACAGCCCCAAACATCACAGAACAGGCTCGGCTCTCTGTCACTCACTCGGCTTCTGCTCTCTCAGCCTGTAGTGTTTATCGTCTAAACCGCGTCAGCAGAGCAGCAGTGGGTCAGAATCGGACCTGTAGGGTGGTGTTTGGGCCTGTTTGGGTCTGTAGCTGCTCACTAAGTTACGTTAGCCGCTCAAGCTCCAGATCCAAACACCAAAAACAGGTTTAATTCTGTCTTTCTGTCCCTTCAGCTCCAGCTGCTCGACTTCACTTCCCTCTAAACCTGGGTCGGTGCTTTAATCCAACATGTTCTGTGCATCTCTGCTCAAAACACTCTGACGTTTATATAATATAATAACTACACATAACGTATTACCTATACGGCTCGTGTCCACATTTGGCTTAGAGTACCATGATATAAAGAGCCTGGCTCTATTATAAGAGCGTTTGAGTAAACAGTTCTGTTTCCCATCACTGGTAAAATCAGTCTATGGTAATTGGCCGTTCACTACAGACACAGGCAGAGAGAGATCAGGCTAAAACCGGTGGAGCCCTGAGGAGAAACTACACAAACAGCGCCTGGATTCTCTGCAGTGATCCGAGTCTCTGTAACTCACACTTTATGGCGTGGAGGAAATACTCCACAGCGTGCTGGTAGAGCCGCAGAGCCTCCTCATAGTTCTTCGCCTTGTCCTCCTCTGTGGCTTTGGTGACGAGATCGATCGCTTTCTGTAGACGAGAAGAGAACAGAGTCCGTTCAGCCTTACAGACGCCGGCTGGGGTTTTATTCTATCGATATTACTATTACTGTTTCAGTATTGTTTTCTACTGTTCTTATTTTTTATTTATTTTTTTTTACTAACATGCTTAACAGTTTTAATGGGTTGTCCTGATTTAGGCCGTTTTAATAATAATTTCTCGGTCATATTTTATATTTTTGCGATACTTTTACTTTGACAAATGTTTATTTACTCTTTTCAATGCTTGATTTTCTGTATAGTGCTCGGCTCCACTGTAAATGAGGGTCCCCTCAATGTACGCCCAGCTTAAATGAAGCCTGACTGGCATTACTATGTAATACGACACAGCACGATATACTATGACACAACACAACAATGTGCTATGATACAACATACCACGATATATGAGCTACGACACACTGTCACAGCACGATATGATACATTACAATACCATAAAATACGACATCTCACGATACAGTGCCATATCGCTGCGATACCATACGTTGTGTCACAATTTAACGCCTTTTTAACGCGGTTTTACGGGGAGAAACGCGAACATCCCCAGAAATTCAGACCGAATCGGCTTCACACTGTCTGGGTTTGATCATAGCACTTTAATGAACAGCGGGCGGCCAAACTCGGAGATTTATGGCCTCAGCTTTAACTGTATTTTACAGCTTTAACTGTATTTTACAGCTTTAACTGTATTTTACAGCTTTAACTGTATTTTACAGCTTCAATGTAAACACGCAGCTCATTTCGGCTTCTCGTTCGAATTTTCCGTTCCACCTTAAACGGGGCGCCGCTGCGTTCTGGCTGCTGTAGGCGGCGGAGTGTAACCGCTGCACCATTTAAGGTGGAACGGGAAATTCGAATATCAGAGCCGCTCCGTCCTCTTTTAAAGCGGGCGGGAGAAGCGGCTGAATTAACGAACCCGCTCTGAGACAAACGGCGCCCATTAAAGAAGAGCAGTTAATGACGGAAACGAGCCGAGCTGTGTTTGTTAGCGTTAGCATCGGCGCTAGCCCCTCACCTGCAGTGTTGACGTTGTCATTTCATCTCACTCTTCCGCCGTTTCGCTCCAGTTTCGGGTTTTTTTTGCTGCTGTCGGTTGTAAAGCCGCCCCGCTGCGACGGAGCGGAGGAGCGGAGCCGAAACGAAGCTGCTTTATTACAGAAACACGATTTTACGGTCGCGGAGCCGCACAGACCAGCAGCGCCCACCATAGAGTCCCACTCAGAGCGCGATCAGAGGGGCTGCCACCCAGTGGACGGGCTGTGACACTACACAACAGCCACAGACCACAACGCGCCACACAGCTGCAGCTAAAACAGCACTTATTACACTGAAAACAACACAAAGCAGTTAAACCGTTATTCATATAGGAGATCCTTAATGGTTCGTCTTTAACATACTGCTCAAAAAGCACTGCAAGAAATAAACGTATGTTATATATGAGTATATTTAGAACTACAGGCCTTTTATTTTACATGTCGTCATTAACACCATTGACGGTCCATCTTAAAATATTACAAAATAAAAGTCGAATTGACGTTACTTGTCTGCCTTGCTTATCTTTGTCCACAAGGACGCAATATATACTAATTTGATACAAAAGCATCAATATTAAGAAAAATATATTAGTTCAGCTGTTAGCTCCCGTCACACCAACATACCCAGCTGTGAAAATGATGAACTGTCACAGTAAGCGACACTGAGGCCCAGTAGACATCAACTCCCAGTAAGAGGAGGCTTAGGCCCAGTCCCGTTTCACCCCTCGCCCCCACCACTGAGCCCTTAGCCCTCTGTTTTGCGTGCTCTCATCTAGGGGTAGGGTGTCCTGACTCTTGTTGAGATAGAGGGGGAGGGTGCAGTGTTGGGGCTACACGACCCTCCAAACAGAGGTTTTTCGGAGACTCCAGAGTTATAAAAAAAAAAACCGGCAAGATGGAGAACAAGAGACCAAAGAAACACACAGATGTGAGAATTTTCTCTGTTAAAGAATTACAATAATAATCACTTTTTTTCATAACAAGCATAAAAAATCGCTAATAGCATGCTAATGTCTCGGTAGCTAGCTAACTTTCCCGTTCCACCTTAAATAGTCCAGCAGTTCTGACGCCTGAAGCGCCAGAATGTAACTGCTGCACCATTTAAGGTGGAACGGGAAAATTCAAACAAGAATCTGGTGAATATCTAACTTCAGCTTCATATCACTGAAGAATTAGGGGTGGGTGATAATAAATAATTGCCCCCCTCTTTGAAGATCATATGATGCCCTAAATGTAACTAAAGCCCAGCAGTGAGGAGCTGAACTTTACCCTCCTCTGCTGTCACTGCAGACTGGCAGGGTCGCCTACAGAGCAGCGCTGGTAGCTGTTAATGAAGTGATGCTCTTTTTATTTGAGGGTCCCATTTCAGAGGGAAGAATCCAACCACTACCCTGTAGCTCAGTTGCAAGGGGTTAGGGTGACACTCGAAAACAAGGGGTAGGGGTGAAAAAAAGAAATAAACTGGGCCAAAGAAGAGGAAGTGACATCATTTAAAGTTCAAACCAAGTTCAACAGCTGGCAGGTTTTGCTTTTATTAAATATGTATATTATTTATTATAAATAATTATAACAACTTATTATAATACTTATAATCCGTCAAGCGTCCCCTTCATTACGCAAAATAGCAAAAACATCGTTTATTACATTTTGTTTTGTAATACTTACATAAAAGTCACAAAGAAGACTGATGTTTCCCTGACGACAGGAATTGTGTCGGTTAGTTTAGTTTAGAAATATTTCATTCTGACAGATTATGACCTCTCAATGCCGTTACAAAAACAAACAAACAAACAAACAAACAAATAAATGTATGCAAATAATGTACATATCTCAGATCCATATATTAATGTACATGTATGTCATTGTATTTGAGGTGTGAATCAGAAGAGAACACAGAAGCCGTTTAGATGTGATACAGTTTTATTCATGTTTATTTACATATTAAAGAGAGTTTTTCTGAACAGAGCTGTATGTTGCATATCTTAAAGAGTGCAGGCGTTGAGGACTAACATACGTCATATAAACAGTTTTGCAGCAGCAGTTTATTATTATTATTTTGCTCTATGTCGTTATTCTCTCTGTTTTTGCTGACCGTGATTGTGTGAACGCAAGCTGCCACGTGTACAAAACTTTGGTGCAAAACCTTTTAGCTAAAAAACTACAAACAGTTCAGCTAATAAACTAAAACAGAGTATATTTAAAAAATAATAATTATAATAATAAAACAGATGATAATGATCGTGCGTGTTGGGGGGTTACATTCACAGTCTGTGTGAGTGTGATGACGCGGGGTGGGGGGTGTGGGGGGGCAGCGAGAGCGCAGAGTTTAGAGAGAAGAACCTGCAGCTCAGTCAGACAGGAGAGAACAAACCAACACGCTCTGCTCTGTTTCTGTCACAGACACCACTGTTTACCTCAAAACCACGACTCGAACAGGAACGACGACAACTTACTTCTCAAAAGACAAAAACTCAATTCAGAGTGAGAACGAATTTCAAGATAAGCCAGTTTTTGAGATAAAAAGCCTTTTCTGGAAAAAATAAGTCAATATTAGAAGTGAAAATTGTGAGAAAACAGATCATTATTTAATTAAATAATGCTGATTAAAAGTCTTTTGACATAAATCATCAAAGTGAAAACACAACCTGCTGTCAGAAACAGGGAGGCGGAGTTTGTTCTCCTGTCCTGTTTTGAGTTTTTCACACCAGAAAAAATTAAATATAGTTTTGTTTCTGGCAGCAGTATCTCAAAATATCTCAGAATAGTGACTTATTTTATCAAATTAATGACTTATTATCTCTAAATAATTACATTTTATCAAAATAATGACTTAATTTCTCAAGCTTTTGATGATACTATATCAAAATAATAATTTTTCAAAAATAATAAACATTTCAAGAAATGAATCATTAGAAGATACCAAATCATTATTTTGACATAATAACTCATTATTATAAGTAAGTTATAATAAGTTATTATTACCTTTATTTTGGTAACACCATTATTGCTCAGTCATAACGGTGATTAAGTCATTACTATGTTTAATAAGTCATTTTTATGACAGAGTAAGTTATTTAGACATGGTAAGTCATCTTGACATTGCAAGTCAGTATTTCAGCAGCAAGTCGATATTTAATCACAGTAACTCAATATTTTAGGAATATCAGTAATTATTTCGACGAGCTGTGGCAGAAACAGAGGAGCCGATGATGTTTTGTCCTCTGTCTGGTCTGAATGGTCCTCCATTGACTTATTGCTGTGATAAAAACCTGTCACTCACACACTCGCAGCTCCACAGCTCCGCCACCAGAGGCCGCTGTTTCTCACTGACACACAACACATACAAAGTCTTTAAAAGCACTTATTGGAACACAAAGCGCTCGTAATGCTCCGCAGCGTGAGAGAGGAACGCGTAAGGCCACCGGAAACAGCACAACACGGGCAGTGCTCGGACATCAGAGTCACCGTCACAGGGGTCAGACTCGGCGTCGGGGGTGTGGGTGCTAATCTACTAATATGAGCGAGGTTAGCAGCAGGTGTGCGAGAACGTACACGTGTTTCTTTAACTTCATGGAACGTATAGAGAGCGGAATGAAAGCTCTGTGTGGTTGAATCAGGCTGAGCTCTCCAGGCCACAGGGGGCAGCGTGGCCTGTGTGAACATGCGCTCACTGATGCTAATCTATAGAACGGGGTGCTCAATCCTGATCCTGGAGATCCACCAACCTCAAGAGCTCAGATCCAGCACACCTGGCACTGACATTCAGGTGTTCCTGAAGACCTTCATTACCTGGATCAGGTGTGCTAGATTAGGGGGCGGAGCTAAACTCTGCAGGGTGGAAGATCCCCAGGGCCAGGATTGGGAACCCCTGCAGCAGGACACAATCTGCCCCACTGAATGGGCGCTGGCAAAGACCTACACTCTTAAAAAAGAGGTTCTTCAAGGGTTCTTCAGTAAAGGGAATGGTTCTTTTTAGAAACGTGCGTTCTATATAGAGCGATTTCATGCTTAATGGTTCTTTGCGGGATGAAATGGTTCTTCAGATTGATGGAGGTGTTGTATATGGTTCTAAATAACACCAAAAAGGGTTCTTCTATTGTTACAATGTCAAGATTGTAACATTAGCAGAACTGTTTTTGGTGCTCTATAGAACCACTTTCAAAAAGGTTGTATCTAGAACCTTATATGTTTGAATGCATAAGATTTGAGGTTCTTTGCAAGGTAAACTGGTTCTTCAGATTGATTGAGATTGTGTTGTATATGGTTCTGTATAGAACCTTTTTGAAAATGGTTCTATGTAGAACCAAAAAGGGTTCTTCTACTTTTACAATGACAAGCTTGTAACATTAACGTTCAAATTAACTCTTTTTGGTGCTATATAGAACCATACATAGAACCTTTCGTGCTTATATGGTTCTTTGCATGGTGAAATGGTTCTCCAGATTGATGGAGAATGTGATATAGATGGTTCTATATAGCACCAAAAAGGGTTCTGCCACTGTTACAAAGTGAAGCTTGTACAATGAAGAACACTCATAGATGCCATATGGAACCATTTCTAAAAAGGTTCTATACAGAACCATATACACCACATTCTCCATCAATGTGAAGAAAGCGTGCTCATGGTTCTACAAAGAACTCATGGTTCTAAATAGAACCATTACCTTCACTAAAGAACCCTGGAAGAACCATCTCTTTTTAAAGAATGTTCTTAAAGTGACAGATCAGCAAAAAATCAGATATTTCTGGGCTGAATCCCAAACAGCTCCCTACTCCTCACTCAGTGCACTTAAACGCCACACCTACGTGACTTATTTAGTGCACTTCGTAGGGAGGAAGGGCGCTGTCTGAGATTCAGCCACTTACCCTAAATGTAGTCAGAACATGTCTGAGGTTTGCTTCTGTAGTTTTAGCGCTGGAGCTACAAGGCTAATGTAGCTAACAGGTAATGGAAGCTTATAGCCCACCAATTAGCATGATGTTAACTGGAGGCCTAAATCAGCACACACTTGGCTCAAACATGTTAGCAACGTTGACTTCCTATTCAGCAGCTTCAGAATTCTCCATTCCACCTTAAACGGTGCAGCAGTACACTGTGTAGGGAGTAAAGGAGCTGACTTCTTGGAATTCTCTGTCCCACCTTAAAAAAACCCTGCTGCACCATTTAAGGTGGAGTGGAGAATTCCAATGAGACAGCGCCTTTACTCCCTACACAGAGTACTGCTGCACCATTTAAGGTGGAGTGGAGAATTCCAATGAGACAGCGCCTTTACTCCCTACACAGTGCACTGCTGCACCGTTTAAGGTGGAGTGGAGAATTCCAATGAGACAGCGCCTTTACTCCCTACACAGTGCACTGCTGCACCGTTTAAGGTGGAGTGGAGAATTCCAATGAGACAGCGCCTTTACTCCCTACACAGTGCACTGCTGCACCGTTTAAGGTGGAGTGGAGAATTCCAATGAGACAGCGCCTTTACTCCCTACACAGTGCACTGCTGCACCGTTTAAGGTGGAGTGGAGAATTCCAATAAGACAGCTCTTTTACTCCCCACATAATGCACTGCTGCACGATTTAAGGTGGAGTGGAGAATTCCAGTAAGACAGCGCCCTTACTCCCTACATAGTGCACTGCTGCACCATTTAAGGTGGAGTGGAGAATTCCAAATAACAAGCTGCCCAACAGGAAGCCAACTTCAAAGATGTTTGAGAAAGTGCATTAAGGCTCCAGATTATAACTGCTGCACCATTTAAGGTGGAACAGCACATTCAGGCTAAAAACTGAATTTTACTTGCTTTTCTTCCTTTAAATTTTTAAAATATCATCTGTTTCTGCTGCAGCCGCACTCCGCGCTGATGTCGAAGGCCTGTGACAGAGAACAGAGGCTACTTCAACGGCGCTGTTGAAAAAGAAACACCCCAACAAACATTCAGCCCTGTTTAGAACCCAACACAGCTTTCAGCCCTGCACGCAGAGGAATGTCAGAAAAACAAACACTGAACATCTGGAATGTTATCAAACGGACCACTTTGTGATTTTTTTCCCACACGTAAACACATAAACACAAAAGGGGCTGAAGGAGATTAACATGTCAAAGCCAGCGAGAGAATACGGAGCTTTAGCGTCCGCGCAGAACCGCGCAGAACCGCGCAGATCCGCACAGTAACAGTCCGAGTCATGCAGGACAAACAGACACACAGACAGGAATGGTGAAAAGAGACACATACATACAGGAATATGAAATGAGGGTAATACTACAGTTCTGCATATTCAGCAAAGCTTTCCTATGATTTCAAATAAAAACAAAAAGAGAGAAAAATGATTAAAAAGCTTTTTTTCGACTCGATATGTAAAGGCACATGTGGTCCTCCTGAAACAGTAACCTGGAGAGTGTGTGTGTGTGTGTGTCTGTGTGTGTGTGTGTGTGTGTGTGTGTGTGTGTGTGCACACCGTACATGCTTTAGGAATCACGCTTGTGAAAAATTTTGTGAACCCTTTAGAATTACAATTTCTGCATAAATTTGCATAATAAACAGCAGTGCTGCTTTAAAACACACAGAAAGACAAAACAAAAAGACAGATGACTGTGAGAAATGTCTGGGTGTGGCCTATTATTCTAATGAGCATGGTTGATTGACGTCTCTGTGTCCAACATGACCAGCCACTACGCAGCTTTCTTGCTTTAAAGGTTCTGTATGCGACAATTTAAACATTAATATAGCAGCACAGTTATGTTCTGTTGTCTGTTGTTTGTCTTCATAGCCGGTTTGGTCGTTTAGCCCCGCCCTGTGAAAACGTCAGCCCTCCCCACGTTTTGTTTTGCCTCCCCAAGAGACAAAGACAGTGATCGCCCACACAGCACTGTGCATGCGAGATGGTGGAGCTTACAAACGATGGTTCTTCAAGGGTTCTTTGGTAAAGAAACTGGTTCTATATAGAACCATGAACACTTAAAGAACACTGCATGATTAAAGGGTTCTCTGCATCATTAAATGGTTCTTCGGATTGATGGAGGATGTGCTGTAGATGCTTCTATATCGAACCTTTTTGAAAATGGTCCTATAGAGCACCAAAAAGGGTTCTGCTATCATTACAATGTCAAGCTTGTAACAGTTGAAGAACCCTTTTTGGTGCTGTATAGAACCATAAACAAGACTAGAAGAGTGAGCCTGGTTTTGTTAAAGCAGGGGGGTGGGGCAAGGCACATCAGCCCTGTGATTGGTCAGGATGATCTTATGTAATGCCGGGATATTTTTGTCCTTATGTGCCATAAATCCGTGCTGCGTCTCAGTCGGGAGACTCGCAACACCACAAGTTTGGTGCCGACCGATCATCGTTCGTGTCCTTGTGTGAGTTCACAGGTCGTCGGGCAGGCGGGTCAGTAAACTGTCAATCAGCAGCGCTGTGTGTGATGCTGATGGTTTTTGGACTCTCTCAGGGTTCTCCCTCGAGGGGTTCTGCTGCCGCAGCTCAGAGAACCTTTCCTCTGTTTCATTATTCCACTTTAAATCTGCAGCAGCAGCGCTGCTCTCTCTCCGCCGTGTTTACAGAGAGCGCTCCGACAGCCTGTTGGTCAACGTAAAGGAGCGCGCCGCAGGAGACGCCGGACTGGAAAACAAGAAATTCTGACATGCTAGATTTTTGGTTGGGGTGTCCCGGACACCATTAATGTACTTCGATTATGATCAGATCAGATGATTCAAAAGGGTTCACAAACTTTCTCACAACTTTAAGAGCACAAGCTTACACTGCAACACACTCACACACACACACACTCACACACACACACTCACACACACACACACACACACACACACAGTTATAAAACGTGTATGTAAATGGAACAGAAGCAAATCCATTAAAATATTCCGATAAAATATTCCATTAAATGGAAGGCTGAGCTATAAGAGTGTAAAAGAGGAATATTTTATGAAAACTCGCCCTTCTTGTCTCTCTCTCTCTCTCTTTCTCCCCCCCTCCCTGTCTCTCTCCCTCTGTCTACTCCTGTCTCTCTCTCTCTCACGTCAGCAGGCCCATCCGGGTGAGTTTGGCCGACAGGAATGAGTGAAGAACAAACACCACGGGCTTCGGACTGGAGTGCAGATCAAACACCTGTAACACACAGACACACACACAGAGACACACACACACACACACACACACACACAGAGACACACACACACACACACACACACACACACAGAGACACACACACACACACACACACACACACAGACACACACACACACACACACACTTATAAATACTTATTTATAAACAACTGCCAGACCGATGTATGTCAGTCGGCTGTATCAGCCAATGAGCTGAAGATTAATCATTATCAGCAAAAATCTCCCAGATTAAACACCAAATCTGATCATAATAACACAAAAATATGCAGAGAACTAATGAAGAATAAGAACATCTAAAAAGGGAAAGTTCATAAACTTTAAAGTTGGCTGGACAAACACAGTGACGAAGGCTGAACAGTTAAAGCAGCGTCTGTTTTTGCCGTGACCGTCTCTGCAGTGCTGAGCGCTGGGCGGCTGTTTATGCAGCGGTCAGTGGGTTATTTTATGGTAAAGGAGTTTATTTTCACTGCTCGGCTGTTTTAACTGCAGTTTCTTTGGTATTTCAGGTGGTTGCTATGGTGGCTGACACAGCGTTCCAGGTGGTTGCTATGCAGTTGCTTCGGTGTCTTAGGTTGTTGCTACGGTGTTGCTAATGGTATTTCAGGTCTTTGCTATGGGGCTGGATTGCAATGAGCTAAGGTATTGCTAGGTGGTTGCTGTGGTATTTTTGGTGGTTGCTATAATTTTGCTATGTGTCTACTAAGGCATATAAGGTAGTTGGTAGAGTGTTATCAGGTGGTTGCT